CTGCTGTGCACTGATATTTTGGTACCACAGTGCCACCTACTGGCTTTACAGTAAGACAAGCAATGGATCATTTCAGCCCAGAATTCTCTTTTGTAAGCCTGGTAATGTTCTAAATGCACACAACACAAAGTTATTTCATGCCTTATTTCCTGTCTAAGAGCTTTTGTTCGCCCTCAAACAGAAAATAATGCATGAAATGAAGATTAAATCACAAAACAATGAAAAACATTCCCTTCTAAACATTTCCTGATTTGCTGTAATATGGCAGAAGTAAGTTATTCCTCCCATTTCACCCAGGAAACGAACCGATTTGTCTTTGGAGATGTTGCAGGGGTCACCACAGGGGGGCTTGAAAGGAGAAAAAGGGAGTGAAGTGGGAGCGAAACAGAACAAAAACTATTACATCTTTTATCATTTCCCTCTCCTATAACCTTGTTGCGCTGGTGGAGCGGAGGTCTAGACATTGTGGAAAGGTAATCGCCATCCATCATGTCCGATTATGCCGTTTAGATGTAATTGCAAACCCTTAAGGATTGCTCCACCAACATCATCCATGCACACACAAACACACCTGCAGGGGAAAGAAAGGGGAGAGTATCACTGTTGCTCCTGCCGACTGAGAGAGGGAGAGAGAGAGAGAGAGAGAGAGAGAGAGAGAGAGAGAGAGAGAGAGAGCCACCTCCATACACATTTCACAGACAATCAAATTAGAGCTGGCGTTCAATACATCACTGACAAATTGTTTATTAAACAAAAGGCTTGAATTGCAGCATAACTGAGAAAGATTCAAGCGACGAGAGAGGAGCGGGGGCTTTTATGACTGCCCATGTAAGGAAGGCAGTGTTGCACGAGCACACCATGTATGTCCTCTTCTACATTTAACAACGCACCGTGAGGATACACACCGGGATAAAACAATGTCAATGAGGTCATGAGTGGAGCATGGCACTACCATTGTTAGTGTTTGACTCCCAACGGGGCCACCCACGTTCAAATGGCACAGCAAAGCACTTTGGTTGAAAGCGCCCCCCATATGGTACGTTATAATGTGCTGGGAGTAGCAGTAACAGTGAGGAGCCTACAGGTCATATAGAGGCATACTTCATACAGCTGATTGTATAGCAGGCGATTTGAAGTTTTAAGTGTTTCAGATGTGTACTAAGATGCATGTGGCCATTATGCAACATTTATCATTTCATAGATTCCCCTCTGAAAAGGCTTTACAGTGAAATGGATCTCCGGCTGTAATGAGCAGTGGCAGTAAATCCGCTCCACCCTGAAGAAGTGATTTATTCACGGCAGGAGAGGAGGTTTCAGTTGACATTTTGATATGTTCTGACCTTTATTCTCCATTGAGTTCACAACTATTTTGAATTTGAAGTGATTAAAGACCACCTTTTAAAACCTTTGTTACAAAAAAGATCGATTTTGACTTGAACAGAAGGGAGCTAAAAGTGAAACTACCTCGGGGTACTAGCAAGTTTAGTGTCTCAAAAGAGAAGCAGTTGAGGAAATGGGAAATTGTCTCGCAGCTTGAGACTGCTGCTTTAAAGTAATAATTACTTCCCTATCTGACAGGAATAATAGATTAGATGTAGATTTGATTAGACAAAAGATTATTGACAAAAGGTCAAATGTACTTATTTGTTGTCACACGATGGCTTAGTTGTTATCATATGATGTATAACGCTAACATGGGCCAACAAGTGACTGTATATCAATTATATAATATTATATTACATATTTTTGCAGGTTTATTAAGACATGTTTGCACAATTGAGTTTGATCTTAAAACCAAAAAGTATGAAATGGATATATGTGTACTTTGGGGTTTGAAGATCGCAATAACAGTCGGCTAAATATTTTCCACAAATCAGATAACAGACAGAAAATTAGAAGTTTCTCCCCTGAGAGAAACTTTGGAGCCTGTGAGGTTAAAGGTCAGCTGGTGGCTCTTCACAGGGCGATGACACCTGTCAATCAAGCCGTGCTGAAGACCTTTATACCATGACAAAAGCCTTTCCCTGGCTATTGAGCGGGACACCGATTCTTTCATGAGAAATGTCATGGATGTTGTGATAAAAAATGAGGTCAGCCATGTGCAGAGTTCGAGGATGTCAAAACTCGAGTGGCTTTAGGCTGAATGATCAGCTGGGAGATCATTATCGTATTTGAGTGTGTGTAGGCGGTGTGCAGATGCGTGTGTGGCCTTGTGTGTGGTCGGTAGGTGTGATGCATGTCTTTAATAAAAGTCCATTAGCTCTCTGCGTGTGTGTCCCCTTTGTGTTTGAGCTGGTATCTTGTGAGTGTGTGGAAAAACACAGAGTGCGTCCTTGTGTGGAGACGTGTTGGAAATGGATGGGCCGTGAATCAGAGCCCAGCGTGCTGTTATTATTTCATGTTGCTCCCTACAGGGCTGCTGGCTGTTATCCCTCACCCCGAGGTTCACTGACCCTAAGCACATTTCTTCTTCTTTGTTTTCACTTTGTCTTCCCTTCCCCCCTCATGCTGCAACTTTTTCAACATCTTCGCTCCCTCTTAAAAATGGCCAACAAACCAAGTAAAGTTTGGCTCTATGAGGCCAGCGTCTTAAAAAACACATGCTAGGACATGTTAAAAGGAAAACATTTCACTCAGAAATAACGCAGAATAGTCACCGAAACGCAAAGGAATCAGGCGATCTTGAGCGCTGCTCGCCCACCACAACAGCAGGCCATAACTAATCCATCTCCCACTACAGGCTTTTAATGAGCCTCCATCACCGTTATCCTTCTGGTGCTGTGCAGCGCGGCCCAATCGAGCTGTTTCCATGACTTTGTGCTGTCAGCAAAATGTGACGAGGGACGTGTGTGTGTGTGTGTGTGTGTGTGTGTGTGTGTGTGTGTGTGTGTGTGTGTGTATTCTTGTGTGTTACTGTCACTGAGCATCTGCATCGTCGTTGTGCCATCCTGGTCGACGATTTTCCATCTGGTAGATGTGTGTGTTGTCTAAACAGAGACCTACCTGCATCACTCTGTCCCTGTCTGAAAATGCAGCAGGATTATTGGAAACAGAAACTGATGGGAGTGGCTGTGTGTGTGTGTGTGTGTGTGTGTGTGTGTGTGTGTGTGTGTGTGTGTGTGTGTGTGTGTGTGTGTGTGTGTGTGTGTGTGTGTGTGTGTGTGTGTGTGTGTGTGTGTGTGTGTGTGTGTGTGTGTATGTGTGTGTGGAGTTAGCTGCCAGGCCCCTTTCAGTAACCCCCACAGGGGCCACATTAGGGCCCTCCCGGGGCCAAATTAGAGGCAGCTAACCACGTTAGAGATCGGCAGCAGAGGGGGCCTGACTGGCAGGGATGGACTGATTTCACTCCAGCCTTCTGAACTAACATACCCACATCAGACACAGCAGCACACACACATCACACACACACACACACACTCAACTCCTCTCTTTGTTTTGCCGCTGATCAGCAAAAGATAAAAGCCGGTTCCTGACAATGGCAGCCTCTCTGTTGGGGAGTCTGCAGGGAGATCCTGACAGAGAGGAAGAGCTGTAATGTATTCCAGCCTGGATTAGTGTGTCTTCATGGAGACGAAGTGATTTCAACTAAATTAGCCTTTAGAAAAAGGAGTTTCTTTAAATGTAATTGTATTATGGTTTTATCTATATGCACTTAATGGAAGTAGTTCCATGTGAACAGCCGTGGATGATGAGACATGTTGATTTTAAAGAATGGCTATGTTTCTGAAAAGTCACAATGTTTTCTAAGATAGTATTTTTCATAAGTGTAGCTTTATTTGATTATTTTGAATAAACCATATTTTTAGGAAAGGGCTTCTATATCGGACACTACTTTTTGGAAACCTTAAATACTACCATTCCGATACTAATACTACTTTTTGGATGCCAATATTACTATTCTAATAATTGAATACTTAGATTTTGATACTAACTCTACTATTCGGATAATTAATTAAATACGGAAACAAATTCTTCAATGGTAAATGGACTGTACTTATATAGCGCTTTATCCAGTCACATGTCATTCACCCATTCACACCCATTCATACAGAGCAGTACCACTTGCTCTAGGACCTAACATTTACACACACTCACACACCGTTGGCCATCGGGAGCAACTCAGGGTTAAGTATCTTGCCCAAGGATACATCGACATGTTGACTGCACGGGCTGGGATCGAACCCACAACCTTCTGGGTGAAAGACGACCGCAATCCCTCGCAGCCACAGTCGCCCGGTTAATTCGGTTACTAATTAAAGTATTCAGATATTAATACTATTTTTTGGGTACGTTGAATACTAATATTCAGACACTAATACTACTGTTTGGATACTAATATATACTATTCAAATAATGAAACACTACCAGTGTCAGGAGTGCAGGATTCATAACAGGTATGTGTGATTGACAGGCCTGCCGGCACAGGTTCAAGCCCCGCCCCCTGCTTCCTGTCACATAGCATGAGGTGGTGGTGACATTTGTGAAGTCTCAGAGCGTGATCATAAATCTGGATTTTATGAGCGCCCGCTGAACTCTGCAGACTGTTGACCGCGCAGCCTTGACATTCAAGACTGTGCGGCGCGAAACAAACCCGGGCTGCAACTCCCCGAGCTCAGTGATTGATTTGTCTCGGGGGGGCAGTGAAAGCCTCTCACTGTTAGGGTCAGGCTTGTTTCTGTTTATAAATGTCTTTGTTCATTACCATCATGACAAGTGGAGATTTGGCAGGCGGTGTTTACCTTTTAAAAAGCATTAAAAAAAGACTAAATGTTTTGTATTTTCCACACTAGAAATGCACACATGATTATCTTGATGTTTCTCAATTGAATTAGTCTTTCACATAAAGAAAGGGTTCACCCTTGGGAGTGAAAAGGAAGTGAGGACAGATTGGATCCTTCAAGCTGGAGTCAAATCAAGTCATTAGGAGTAGGAGGAGCCAGAGCCAGGTTCCAACACCTTTATGTTTGCTGACAAGACAATAGGCAGCATTGACGCCAAGAAACACTATAGAAGAAGGCAGCATTGCTCTCTGAATAGGTTTTTGTGTGATAAGCTGTAATGGGGTTCAGAGAAGTGCTTTTATCAGGGTTTGTGCTTCTCCTCTCAGGTGGACATGTTTGTGTTGCAACACAGAAATGGTCAAATACCATTGAGACTGTGAACCAAACGCCGCAAGAACCTCAGACAGCAGATCATCAGTCAGACCTGACGGAGCATGTAGATCCAGAACTTTCTCCTGTCACATACCGGCTCAAGATCCACCAGCTCAGGAACTCTGCTGCCAGCAAACCACCTCAGCCTCTTTCTCCAAACCAGCAGAGCTCTGGAGCCACAGAGCTGACCCCGGAGCAGCTGGAGCCAGAGGTCCCAGAGCCAGTTGAGGAGGTTGTGGAGCTGCCGTTTAAAGGCCCCGATCTGAACCCAGCTTTCAGACCACGATCAAAGGTATGACATGCAGCCATGTTGATGTTTTGCACCATTTTAAGTTCAGTGTAATTCAAATGTGACTGATGTTCCAGGGGCGGGCGCTTGTGATAAAGCAGAGGGTGCCTGTGCCGGCCGACAGCATCGCAGCGCGCTGTGGGGAAGGAGAGGTCACCGTAGAGGTCAAACAGAACTTCCTAGGTAATGTTTTTAATCCACAGTGGCACAGTCATTCAAAATGCCTTCTGCTCTGATGTCGAAAAAAAGAAAGGGTTTGAAACCCAAATTGGAAACTTTAATGGAACGGTGAAGATGAGACACTGTGCTGATTACTGCAAATGGCACAGACTATAGACTGGATCAATATTATGTTTCCTTTTACTTCTTCACTCCGAGAAGAAGCATTCTGAATGACTCTCAGTGATACATTAAGAAACCTTTGTATTTGTCCTGTGGCTGAACCTCCCCTCGCTGTGAGTGTTATTGACTGCATGAGGAAAAGAAAATGGCCTTAGGTAATGGGTCCCCGATTTAAGCTGCACCTTTCCCCTCTTTGTTCCTAGGAAACGGGCAGTTGATCCGACCGAGTGATCTGACCTTAGGGGGTTGCGCCGCAGTAGACGCCGCCCACCACATCCTGCACTTCCAGACGGAGTTACAGGACTGTGGCAGCACAGTGACGGTGTGTGTCTCTCTTATAGTGTCCATTTTCTCATGGGTATCTGAAGTAACAGTAGTTTTTTCCCCTCAGATTACCGAACACGCCCTCATCTACTCCTTTTATCTGCTGTACTCTCCAACACCTATTAGCAACACCTTTATATTGAAAACCAACCCTGCTAAGGTGGTAATTGAATGCCACTATCAGAGGTAAAGTCTCATTATTTCCCCCCTTTGAAAGCACTTATATTAAAAGTCATAGTAATAAATCAAGGTCTTATCATCCCGACTGTTTTTTCCTTGTAACTTTGGCCAGAAAACAGGTTTCAAATAGCATTTTGTAATGTTTTAAAACCACGTTTTTAATGGTTTGAATCAAATCAGATCAAGTTTTAATTACATGGCACATTTTTAAAACGATTTTTGGTCGAGCCAAAGTGCTGTACATGCAATACACTATTACTGCAATAGTAAAACAAGACATCAAATTACAACAGTAAAAATCAGAATGTAGCTTAGCCCTTCAGAAACCATGTTATGGTCATATCTTCCTGCCTACATGTTGTCCTCCTGTCTGGGGCCCACATCCTTCTGCCTCCCTCCAGTGAAATGCCCGTCCTTCCTGTAATTGTCCTCACAGGAGACATCGTGTGAGCAGCGCTGCCGTGAGGCCTACCTGGACGCTGTTCTCCGGCGCCGTGTTGGCAGAACAGCAGCTGCACCTCTCCCTGCGTCTCATGACAGGTGGGCAACACGCTCGGAGAAAAAACCACAAACCTTGAGCTGATGTTCTGCGAGTTAAAACTCAGATTATCTACCAGGCGCTTTGGTTAATTTCCCCAGCGACGGGTGTAATTGCAATCACTGTAAGGCCTCGCAGACGTTGTTTAAGATGCTAAGCAGTGCCTTGATAAACAGAATGGTGATGAGCTGAAATTAAAGCCTTGTAGGCGCAGTTGACCTCAAGGGGTCACTCGCACAATAAAGTGATCAATAAAACAGCTGATTATGCTTTCTAATTAATGCAAAGACTGCAACACATTGTCTGTTGTGAAAAGTTAGCCCGTGTCATTTGCTCATTGTATAATAAACTTGAGAGTTTTATAGGGGCCCTATTGTGCTCATTTTCAGGTTCATATTTGAATGTTGTGCCTCTACTCTGACATGTTTCCATGATTTAATGTTCAAAAAGCTATTAGTTATGCACACAAACCTATTTGACACACTACAGGAAAATCTCCAAAAATCGGGCCACTTTCAAACAAGTTTGCCTCTGTGTTTCTTCCAGGTTAAGGACGCCACATCTGTAATTAATGTATTGCTATTTTAGTACTTTTCTCTTATTACGGTGCCTGTATCTGATTCCCTGCTGTTGCACTGACCCACTCTTCCCCATGGGCATCATTTAGCTTTCATATAATCCAAATGGATGGCCGAACATTACTCCTCCACTTATAGTTATTCCTTCCTCTGTATTGGATTAGAGGACTGGCAGTCGCAGAGGCCTTCCAGCGTTCACATCCTGAGTGACATGATGCACATCGAGGCGGCGGTCCTCCAGGGTCACCACATCCCTCTGAGGGTCTACGTGGACAACTGCGTGGCCACCGCGACCCCCGACCCCAACTCTCAGCCCAGCTACCCCTTCATCAGCAACCATGGGTAAACATTCATGAAGCAGTATTTGCCTAAAAGAGCCAAATTGAGTTTTATTTGCACGTCATTCGGTACCCATTAGGAGCGTTTACGGCCTGCCTGTGTTTATGAATATGAATCGTGCGCCTGTATTTTTCCATATAAGGTGTTTGAGCGATATTGAGCCGGCAGGAGCCACGTCTTACTTCATGCAGAGGAGCCAGGAGGATAAACTTAATTTCCAGCTGAAAGCCTTCAAGCTAGATCACAGGAATTCAGTAAGTACGAGATGTGTTTATAATGTGATTTTTAGGATTCTTGAATCATAAAGTCATTTATTTAACAATTTTTCCTTCCATGCATTTACAATTCGAGCAATCTGATCTTGATTTGACCATGCAAAGTGTTGCATTCACATTCCACGGTTGTCTCATGCGTGCTAAGTTGGCGCATAATGTACACATTAGTAAGTGTTGTTTGACAGCTATAATACCCTCGGTTGCCGTCTGTGCTTAGCTCAAATTCTTTCCTACTGAGGAGATGGGAGCTCTTTCAGGTAGTGTTAAACCGAGTGCCTTAATATACTGTAAGTTCATAAATAAGAGCCAGTATCAAATCAGAAAAGTGTATTACTGTACAATCAGAGCTTTGCTTTAACGTAATCGTTTATGCTTTAAAATGTCTAAAGATTAGTGGAACATTTATAGATTTTAGGTTGTGTACTTCTATGATCAGAAATGATTTTTAAAATGATTAAAACCTAGAGAAATGTGTAATTTTAATCAAGGCAACGGCAGTTTTATTTGGTCATCTTTTTTATGCATGCATCAGTGTTGCATCCATTTCTACATCTTGAAAGATTTGATTTCAAGTGGAAATGCAGTCTGAATATAAATGTGTTTTTAAATGTCCTTAGCTCTACATCACATGTCTCATGAAGGCAACAAAAGTCTCCGTTCCCATCGACTCGCAGCACAAAGCCTGTTCCTACCTGACTGAAGCGAACAGGTTTGTTCACACAAAGAAAATGCAAAGATATGTGACTTTTATTTTTCCAACTTACCATGCCTCTGTAACGGCCTCTTTTCTTGTCCCTGGACAGATGGATGGCATCAGGTGGAGACAATAAGGTGTGTGGCTGCTGTGAGAGCAGCTGCAGCGAGCCGAGGTGGAAACGAAGCCTTGCAGCAGATGCAGGTACGCTTTACAGAATCACTACAAAACACTATGGGATGAATCCTGAACATCTCATACTGATACGTTTTGATACCATCTCCACTGCTGTCGAAATATTTTTCCGTACATTTATCAAAAAGATATCACAGAAAAGCTATTTGTGTGTCCATCTGAATAGTTTTAAAGTATAGGAACATTTATTTTCTAGCGACAGGGACTGAAATATAATCAGCCACAGACCAGCAGAGGTTGCACCCATATTTAGACAAGCTAACTTACCCTCATTTGGCACCAGGCGTCTTTAGGGGATTGGTTTTGAGCTGATCCGTTTTAAATTGTTCAGTCGTATCATGAATGGTTGAATCAGCTGGCTAAATGCGTGTTGATTTTTCATTCCCCTGTGCAGGGCTGGTGCAGTGGGAGGGGGGGGTGGCTCTGGGCCCCGTCCTGCTGCAGGAGAACATCCTGACCCAGAAGCTGACAGCGCTCCAAGTACACGAAGTGACTGGAGCAGGTAAAACGACAACAAGAAAATGCATTTACTTACTTCTTTTCTTTCTAGAAACTGATATTATTTGTCTTCTCCTCTCATTTTAAGCCTCCTATACGTCCCTGGCCCTGCTGTGTGGGGTGGGGGCCGCGCTGGCTGTGGTGCTGCTGCTCCTCATGGGTGCTATCATCTGCAGCAGACAAAACAAACCCTCTGGACACTTTGTTAGTACCTGATTAAAACATTAAAAATGTATAACAAAACTCTATGCTTCCTTTATTCTTTGCTCTGGAGAAAAACAGTTTTCCCCTAGCTACTGATTTAATAATCCATCTTGGAGTGAACACTTTTCCGGCTTTGAGAAGACTCTTTTAGTTATTTTTGCATTTTTCTCTGCAGGGCTTGGCTGTATTTGGTTGCATCTGTACAGTGTGTTCCATACTACACTCTAGGTTAAGTGTTATGAGCTTGCCAGGGTTAAAAGGGGTTAAGCTGTAGAGTACGGCCCTGCAGAAATGACCCGCTCATAAAATGGATGCTGTGTATATTGCTCTATCAATCAGCAGGCTTTTATACCAAGCAGGGTTTTATACGGTTTGGAGACATGCAGTAAATGAATACTTTACTTATTGTCATTAAGGTTCTCATAATGTGCAGGGGCGTATCTGGGATGTTTTAAATGGGGGGGGGGGGGGGGGGGGGTTTCTTTCGTGGTGCATTGTGGGTGTTTTGCCATGTCATATCTATACAGCCATGTGTTACGGATTGAGATAACAATTGTATTTAAAGTTTAACACAAGTTTTATCCTGATTACGATTTTTGTTTAAATCGAGCAGCACTGGTGGCCTATGACTGACCTTTTATACACACATATTAAAGTGGAAGACAAGAGGCAAATGTACAAGCCCTGAAGTGCCAGCCGTTATGTTTAATTCATGCACGGATGATTTGTACGGTTAATTTTTCGGCAGCCTGCAGCGAGTCCAGCCATTGCCCCTATCTCATGGAGCTACTTTAATACACACCATTACTACCGAGCTGCCGTGTTACTCACTCGAGCTGCGTGAGATTTCTCCATCTCCATACTAATCCACATCTAAAACAAAGAAAACCCCTGGATGAAATAAAGAGTGCCTTTGGATTCGTGCTGACATAAAATACCATTCCGGTAACAATAGTCATATTTTAGCTTTGGGCCTTTTTTGTTTTTCCCCCTTTAATTCACCCCCCCCCCCCCCCCCCCCTCCAGCTTCATGCCAGTGGTGGAGTATGCGTGAAATGGGGCTCATCATGAACTGTTGCTCACAAGCCCGGGAAGACGAATAGACATAATTAAAAAGCCCATAAAGGCGAGAGCGGGGCTTTTATTACAGTAATATGTGAAGGCCTTGGTTTAATGGGGTGTTTGTTCCCGTGTGCAGGGCTGACGGCTGCGCTACTTTACTGCTGGAGCCACGCTGACCCCCTCCCATCGCCAACACACCAGAGGCTAATACAAAGCCATACCTAACGATGCACCAGCAGTAGGCATGACAGCGCATGCATGCACATAATCGAAACACACCCACACAGCGCGCTCCCTTAAAACGAGTCATTCAGGATGTGGGGACGGGGCTTTATTAGGATTTTGGGAAAGAATACAGAACAACAAAGAGATGATAACTCTTTTCCATTAGAGTCCAACACTGATGATTCTTCTCACTGGTGAACACGTTTAATGGGTTAAAACTGCATTCATCGATTACTTAAATCACCTGAGGGCAGCCGAACAAGCTATAAAGACTACATATATAAAAAATAATTTAGCTCATCGTCCCCTTCTCCCAGAGCTCTTCACTACGTCTCATGGCCTCCATCAGCACATGGAAAAAGCATCTATGAAGGGAGCTAGTTGACCCACAGTTCACTTTTGTTGTCAGGGTACTATTTCTTAAGGCTGAAAATGAGCATATATGTCCACTTTAGGCTTTTGTTGCATTATGGGAAATGTAGGATAAATAATTTTGTTGCATGGATTTTGACCGTTCCTTTTTTAATATGTCTGTTTTCAGTCCTTCAACTTCATGGAAGTCCAATAGTACATTACTGGAGTGCTCCTTTTATAAGGTGTTTGTCACTATTGCAAATGTATCCAACAATCACAATGTTGTATTTTGACGGGGCAAGCTTATCTCCCTTACATGCCGACTGTGGTGTGACAAATGTGTGTTATCTTTCCATGCAAAACCTGCCTGCAGCTTTGAGAGGAGTCAACAGAGTGTAAAAGGTGTTAATGTCTTGTTATGGCCGCAGAGAATCCCCATCATCATCATCATCATCATTACAGCCCACCCACAGATGTCTAACGGTTATGGCGGCATGGGCCCATGCTGAAAAGCAAAATGGCAGAGTCCTGAATCAGCCATTTTACCCCGGCAGGATGCGTGACCCTGAGGGCACACGCACACTTTTACTCTCATGCACACACACACACACACACACACACACACACACACACACACACACACACACACACACACACACACACACACACACACACACACACACACACACCATCAAAAGTAATGGTGTGTGTCCAGTGGCAGGCAGCGAGAGTCCTCTCATGTCTGGCAGCCATAACGATATTATTGCTGTAGATGGAGCGTGCTGAGGAATACTATTCCACGCCATTGGTATTCTGCAGACGTCCACGTACCGCACAGCGCTGGTGATGACAGCAGACGTTGTTAACACCAGACCTCTTAGTTGATGATTTTGACAAGAAGCCACAGCATGTAGATCTCTCCACGAGACGGGGTCACTGGAGAGGCGGTTTATCCACCCCTTTTTCACAAAATATGGCTACCATTATCAAAGAGATGCTGCTGTGTTATTACTCTAAAGTCTAAACCTTTGAAAATTAAGACAAATAACTCTATAATTTACTAGATAGTAACTGACTTTAATTATTCACTCCTTCTTTGAATTTAAATACATATCAAAGGCTGTTTAATACCAGCCATGAGTGCTCATTGTGATGTTTTACTCCTCTGATAATATCACATCTGGGTCTAGGGAACACACGTGCACACATACGTGCACGCGACCTCTGTCCAGGTCCAGGCCCAGGCCCATAATTAACCCTCTTAATTAAGAGGGAAAAAAGTTGCTAACGAAGGAAATGGATTTAATTAGCTCGGTCTTAGCACAGGCACATGTGCACGTCGTATAAACGCGCACACACAAAACAATTAAGCCTCTTTTATCCCGGCTAATGGCTTCAGTGACTCAGAGCCTTTCTCATTAAGACTATCAATAATATGCTGATTACATGCATCCACCGCTCTCCTTTATCGCGGCACAAAGGGACGAGTGTGTCCCCCTGAGGTTCCAGGGGGGGGGGCGGTCTGTCTGCGCGCCCTATCTGCTAAAATAGACGTTTTAATTGTTTGGCTGCAGAAGCTAAAAGAGGCTTCGCCGTGTCTTTATTTTCTGACTTGTATCTTATCGAGGAGGGCACGCGTGTCTTTCACAGGGGGACGTGCCTGTGAAGTTGCTGAGGGCTTCATGGGGGCCACATAATAGACTGAAGAGTTGGTGAGTTTTTCATAGTCGTACATCTGTCTGCTGGCTTTTTATCAAATAAGTTCCTGCATGTTGAACTTCTGATCCGTCATCTGTCTGTATACATTTGTAATCACCTTCAGCACATATATTCCACTCCTTGTTCCTCTTTCCTTCCCCCCCCCCTGTCATGTTTTAAACAGAGAGAGTTCAGAGAGACAGACAGGCTTCTGTCACACAGGCAGGAAGACAAGAGATCTGTGCTTTGACCTTCAGTCTCTTCCTGTTGTAACAGACTCGGGGTCCCCCAGAGGAGAACAGAGGAAAGCGGGGTGGCTTGACCTGCAGTGCCGCACCTTAACCCCCCCACCACATCCCTGATGGGGGCTGCCATGCTGCCTCTGATCTCCACTGTTTTCCATATGCTATTGTGCGATTTGTTTTTCATGTAAGTTCTAAGGGTCCCGTGTGGCCCCCTATAGAGCCGACAGCCAAGGCTTTGTTCGGTTCCCAGCATCCTTTTTTAAATTCTCAAATACAAGATTGTTGAGTTTTCCAAATCATAAGAGATTGTAGATAACGTGCTGTGTCAACAATCCATGTTGGAAGGGCTGACCAATAATGCATTTTTATCATTTAGAAAGTGTATGCAGTTATGAAGCGCATTAAAACGTACATTTTTATAGGCTCAATCCACGTATAGCTTTTTCTGCATTTTACAGTTTTCATCAGCAGTATTATCTTGAGTTACGATTCAATTATTTTCTCAGTGTTTCTTGCACACATGTGCATTATTGTGACAGACATAGCCTATTGGTGGGAGAGAAAACCCTTATTAGAGGAACACTCCAGTATTACACTACTCACCAAATAGTCGCTTGACAACCAATATCGACTGAAGGTCTTTTTACAAACTTCTTCAACAAGACAAAGAGACGTTATCAACTGTTACAAGTGGAGTGACCTTTATGAGTAAAATTGCCGGACGCCTCCTTCATTATTGTGATACTAATTGAAGACTTATCCTCAGCCCTTCGTGCGGCCTAACTGCAGATCTCAGCATCTACCTCTGGACGACCTATAACAAAACAGAGAAAGCTCAGGAAGAATTAATTCATAACTGTTCCCCTAAAGTTGCAGTTCCCTTTTATCTAAGTTATGTTGTTCCAAAACAGCATTCCTCTTAACCGTATGTAGACGTTCCCTGTGAGCCAAAGGCAACAGCTCCCAAAATGAAAACAAAGTATTTCTTGGAGGCCTGTGTTCCCATGGCTCCTCATCAGCTGTGCCAACAGCACGCCGCAGAACCTCGGCCCGGCGTACGGGAAATAAATCACCATCTGCACCAGGGAAGTTAACACGGATGTGATTTACTGCAGAACAGATGTATTTTCTTACTGAAATAACATGAGATCCATCCCATAGTGAACCCAACACCTTCCTTTAAACCACCAGGAGGATAACCACAACAAAAGGCCTCCTTCCGTTTATTCCCTCTTCAGATGTGGGGTTTTTTTTGTACACAATGGATGAAAAAAAATTCTATCTTTAGGTGTTTTTCATGTCCTTTAATGGGAATGTGCTGATGTTTGATCCTAGCCAGTGTTGAAAGTGTGCCGGTCCTACCCGGTCCTTAGTACCGGTAAGAGATTTCCAGGCGGTCCGGAGGACCAGGAAGAATTGTACGGAGCCCCCTAGA